TCACAGTTTTGTTCCCACAGATATTTGTGCTCTTGAAATTAAAATGTTTAAAGTTCAAATAAGGTTTCCCTGCGATTTTTTCTCGGTCTGCTGATTTGGCAAGGGTTGGAGGCGAACCAGCCCCAGGCTGAAAGCCTCCCTAATAAAGATAAATTAATTGATTTGGGCAACGGGACGGACTAGGGAGTAGCGGACCCAGACAATTCTGATTTTCAAGCCTACTTGCTTGAACATGAACATTTTCATGATTGTTACCCACGGTATACATAAACAAGGTAATATACTCTCGGATGTAAACATCAAGTTCTAATGTCGACTGATGACGTCATTACTATCTATCAATAGTGTGAGGTGGAATAACGCGAATGTTACTGTGTAAATACGTTGCAGACAAATAACATCACTTCAGTTTGTTCAGTAAAAGGCTCTCATTCTTAAAATAATACATGGAAAATCAAATTAAACATATAGTCTTTGTTCATATTTACGTTTGTTTACGAAAACGATAGGAATGACGTCATCATACAAATGTCATTTACCGGAATAAATCACCTTTTGTAGAGTACACACAAGGGGTAGGTCACTCCACACACCAGTATTAGGTCATCTTTTTTGTCAGTGTGCCGCAAGTGTGCCGATTGTACCGGTCATAGAGCAAGCTGCGATTGTTTGTAAAATATCCATTCCGGCAACCCGGTATTTCAGACACTTTGAATAAATCGGATTGAGGATAACGCGTGAAGTGGTGGGTGTGCGGAATTTTGGTGTTTTGTGTTCAGTGTTGGCAAAATCAGAAATCAATTGATATTTTTCCGCTCTCATGAGCTCGCAATATGACGCGTGATATTGGAACAAAATATCATGCTTGATATTGATTTTACAAGCTCTTTTGATATTGCGAGACTATTCACAACGTGCAAAAATCAAGCTGAGAAATGACTCGACACAAAAACAATTCCATTGCACATCATTTTCTTAGAAAGAGAAAGCATAGTTTGCAATCTCTTTTTAATCTTCACCGATGGCAGACGCGAAGGGACTGTTGTAAGCCGTTATGGAAGTTTCGGTTGCATTCGGGTGTAAAGCAAAAATCATTAAACTCAATCTCACCACAGTTTGGTGAGATTTGCATTTGGTGAGTTTTGTTAGCTTGATATTCCGAGCTGCGATATCACAGCTTGCAAAATCAACCGCCGTTGTTTGCTTGTTGATTTTTGTCTACGAAAATCAAGCGTGATCTTGGGCGTTGGTGACCTTTGATTTTTTTATATTTTCCCAACACTGTTTGTATTTATAGGATACTAAAAGTCCTGTGTTTTAGGGGTTTTACAATGCCTTCAAAAGCAGACGAGAACCCTAGCCTTCCGTGATGTGAAAAGCAAGGGTCTATCAGCGGCCGGAAAGAGTATCAGAGTAGCACTGCACTACTGCCAAAGTGACAGTCACACGGACGCCTGATTCTACTATCCATCTTCTTGTAGAAGATGACCGCCTTTGTTTTGTCAATCATTCCAATCCAATTAGATGTAAACAGGGTGGACCTAGAGAATTTTCCGTCTCTCCGCTGTTTAAATGGATGACGCAGTTTGACGTCAACACATCACGCAAATTCTCTGGGCCTCACCTGAGCCTCACCTGTGGCTTCTGGGGTATGGATTTATCTCCAGTTTTTCATCAAGTCACTGATTGGTTGCTTTTCATGTTTAAGACTGTTTTAAATGTTTACAAAATTACTATCAGAACAGTTTGCATTGATTTAGCACGAATAATTTTCAACAGACTGTAGGAGCGATTGAAGAACCTGTGAAGAAGAATAAAAATATATCCTGTCTTGTCTTAGGTCTGGCAAAGACAAATAGCAGTCACCTTCAGACTACTAGGATGGACTTCAAATTGATAAACAATACAAATCAATGTTTGACTCTCTCGTAGCCAGTGGAGCTATTGAGTTTGTTTTTTTTCTTCGGTTTTCTATAGTTATTGGAATGAGGAGCTAAGAGAAGATTGTGTATATCCACTGTAAGTACACCGGTAAAACAGAGCATGATTTTAGGAACTACTGTGAAGTGATTTGTTAAAAAAAAATTAACGATAGTGCTCGTTGAAAAGGCTTCTCCAACTCAAGAACGGGGGACCAACGGCATTACTTCCCTTCCGAAGGAAGGCGTGTACCTCAGAAAATCCTGGCGACGCTGACTGGGATTGAACCCAGGCCTTTTAGGGTGAGAGGTAACCACGCTTACCACTACACCATCGGCGCCGCTTAGTTTTCTCGTTCAAAACCAAAATTAATTTCATGAAAATGTAATCATATCATTTTACTTGCCTACCGGAACACAGTGAATACATTTTCATTGACAGAATTTCGGTTTTAAACGAAAAAACTGTTTTTGAATATCCAAAAAATAATGTCTTCTCCTCTCCCCTTAAGGTTAATGATTTCTAATGAAATATTTGAGAAGCACTGCGAGTAATGTTACGAGTTCAGAATTTAAATCCAAAATATGAAATTTCACGGGTTTGGTTTTCTTCACGCACCTAACCTAATTGATGATATATTGGAAAACAATACGATGAGTATGAAACGTCAACTTTTGGTAACTCGATATTTAACCCATTCTCTGACAATCTTCCTCTACTTGAATAGCCCTTAGAGAGCACAGGCGAATAAACGGTTCTCCATATGTTTATCTTTTTATTCTAAGCTTTTTACGCTTCTGAGGCGAGCGTTTTGTCGGCTCTCAACTTAGATGCACTTCCACAGTTATTAATTGAGAGCTGTTTCTATGCCAACCAATGCATAAATTTGTATATTTTGTGGCAAGCAGAATGATACTCCATGCCCAGGAGAATCGATAAAATTTGTAACCCGAAAGATTTCTTCGACCTAACCTGGAATAAAACCCGCTGTCTTCAGCCTAGTAATACCATGCCATTAGGGGAAATGGATGTAATTTCGGCCTAAATGCCCCTAATTTGGGTCCATATATAAATTCAGAAATCGACTAAATTTTCAATAGCGACCAAAAATATCCATCAGTACCGTCCCAACGACGTGTTCATCTAGATAACATTGATAAATAGCAGATGTTTAGCGATGGGCCCAATCTTAGATCCATAGGCCAACATTAGAGCCATTTCCCCTACTGACTACTGTCAGAGACTTCTAATTATTGATGAGTAAATTTAAATTTCATTTGATACCACTAAGGCTTATTTTCTTATCCTACGCTTAAGTCTTAAACCAGGTTTAACCAAGCGCAGGAGTAGAAATTAACCCAAAGTTTTTTGTTTGTTTACAATTGAAGTTGGTAAGCAAACGAGAAATGTTCGGAATTCCAGGACGGTTTCTTCGATATCGATGCATAGATTTAAGAGTTTACTATGAAAAGGCTTGTTAATTTTAAGCTATGGGGAACAATTTCACTTTTATAGTAATGTATCTCACATAGATATGTATGTTTACTTAGGTTGAAACATTGTTTTGTTGTACTACCCATAAGATTCGATAGAACGTGTCTTCACCCATCTTCTTCAGTTTCGAGGGCAATACAATCGTATTTCCATGTAAAAACTTTGGTAGGTAATTTTTATATGAAATAATAAAAATATATGTATCACAATCCTCGATATAACGTAACTGTCACTTTTGACTTCCATCGTCGATATCTCACAAATAACAATTCAATAATTCAAATTGGCATGACCCATAGATGAAGGATTGTCTCATATCTTTGCTGGTGTCATTACTTTGCTTGATTTAATGATTGATAGCTAGAAATCAACGATGGAAGTCAAAAGTGACAGTTACGTTATATCGAGGTATAGCTGTACTTATATCGCAAAACAACAATTTATAACGTAATGTTTTTCGATCACAGTCCACATCACAAATGCTAAATTACGGGTTAGGCTATGACAACAATTGATGAGGCATTTACCAGGTACCATTTCAATCTGAATCAATTAATCTATTTTCAGGTCGCTAGAATCTAATTGAACACGATTTTGGTAACTTAATTTGATCAATTATTTGTGTTCATTAGGGGTATGTATTCAGAATTGTGCAGTATTTGCAGTTCTCAATCGATCAATCGATTTAAATATTCTTTAAATGCATGATTGCGGAGCCCTTAGGTAAAATATTTGTTACGCTTGCATAGACGTGAAAAACATTTTAGCTGACAACCGTAGCTAATTAATTAAAACTGCAGTTTTTAACCAATCTGACTCATTTGCGTTTAATGTTTGGAAAATGTTAAAATGTCATTTAAGATTACCTAAATTTGCTCAGTAAGTGTAAATCATTACAAAATTATGCGAATTAACTACTATTGTTCCTTCGCCTAGAACTAGCTACAAGGTAAAAAAGCCTTCTATTTCCTGCTAAACCGTAGCACCTCATTAGTTTTGGTTGACAGGAAATGTCCTCGAGGAACGAGTCCCACACACGTAATAAAAAAACTGATGACAAGGTACAACAGAAGACACCAACCCGGAAAAGTGCTCCAAGTGGTTATGGCTTGATTATGTTTTACGTCTGACTGCTGCTGCTTTGTAATTTTCGTGCTGTCCAAAGAAGTGGCTGGCAATGAGGCGGAAATTAAAAAAGGAATCTCATCGCATTGAATGTAGGTTTTTTTTTACGGAAAACCTGGCTAGCAGAGAAAGCGTACGTTGTATGATTATGACTTGGTTCCTATTCACGCTGATTTCACATGAAGATTAATCACTGGACACGGGCGCACACACGCACACAGTAGGCTGCTGAGGATGATGATTGCTCTTTTCTAGTTTAAATGCCACTGCCATTTTTCGGCTTTCCCTAACAACACATAGCACACTTTGACAATTGACCAGGACACGACCGTTTTGGGACGGTTTGACTCGACAAAGGACAAATGTTTGGCACATGTAATTTCTGTTTCTTGCATGGGGACGTTTCACTGATGATTTCGGACGCGGACAAAACTACACGAATAACATTATAGATTATTTACCATCGTTCAGTTGTTTGAGTTGCTGCAGTTTGTAAATTAAATCCTCAACTTCCTGGTCCTTCACGGGCAGAGCACTGCTCCAGTTTAGGATGGCAAACAGAAATATGACACAGATCACGTGTAACTTGAACATTTTGACACTAGTTGCTCGTTTGGTGAGCGCCAACTATTTTTTCCAGAACAGAAACGAGTGATGCTTATCAGTCGGCGGGTATATCGTGATTGTTGGCCTATCAGCGTGACGGAATCCTTTTTATATGCTCTCTCCTAACAGGTTGCCCACAGGATCATGCACGGAGCTCTCCGACTTGTTGCTTCGTTTATTGGTAACGATGGTGACGCGCCAACGATGATGGCTTTTTCGGCCGTCATTCGCTCGGAGCAGGCGACGATTAGCAATCAACAGCAACCGTTGCCTACTCTGTCACTTGTTACGCGCTTGGCAGCACTGCTAAGCACGTGAAAGTTCTCCAACGGCGACGGGAAAAAATATTTTGCGAAAATATCTACTTTTTATGCAAGATCATAAAAGAGTACCGGATAATAGAGCACGGTTGTTCATCAGAGGGTCTTTCTTATCGATGATGGGGGAGTTTCCTGATGAGTGCATGAATAATAGATTGAATTAAAAAAAAAGCCACTGATGAAGTTGCAGGTTCAATAAAAATGCATTTTCTCTATCATTATCCCGGATGTGCGGGTAATCCGGAAGAAATTGCATGGATGTTCAAGTTGGTGTCAATTTGCCCACTTGGGGAAATTTGCCTGGCCGTTGCGTCATTAATGTATCAATTAGTAGGTAGCGTAGTTTCGCCACGACGGAATAACGGCAGCATATTGTAGACAATCAACCGGGTGATAAAAGGCACCGTAACATGTGTCACCCTTCTTTTTTTTTGTTACTGTTGGAGCTTTAGTTACTTTTAGCGGTCATATAATGGAGTGGCTGTATTTTGCTCGAAAAGTACTTGGCGTTATTTGAAAATGTTCCGTAAATATTTTACTAGCAATCGAGGGTTGACATGTGCTCAATGGTCGATTTTCATGATGAAAGCTCGTATTCTCGTTGAATTTTCGTTTTGAAGACATTGTCTACTTAACCAAAAATTAGAATGATGCCATGAGCATCACATGGTTATTGCGTAGTTTTGTTATTCAAGGTTTACAATTATTTTTCTAGCACTCAATTAAGCAAACAGTTGAACCTATACTCACTAAGAGCGATAAATAAGGAACCGTCGTTGTCAAGACAACAAATGGACGATTAAAATCATGCACTGATTGTTTATTTATGATCCACATTGCCCCAAGCATATCCAACTGTCAGTGGAAAGAGTTACTCCATACGATAGAGCGAGAATGGTCCCAGCCAACAGCATTCCGATCATAGTTGGCCGTATTCCTTCCTTCTTTTTTTGTATAGAAGAATCGAAAAGGGCAATTATTTGGGGTGGAAAAATTCCAACAAATTAAAAACTGCCAGCATAGCAAATTCAACTCGTAAAATGAAAAATGATTCACTCCAATCAGCAACGATTATTAAAGAGGCGGGTTTGGTAAACGTTTGCGAATGGCAGCAAAAGAAAATTCCAATTTCTTATGCAGATCTCCCAGCCTTAACCGTGAACACGTACTTGACCATGCGCTGGCTGGTAGGAAGTGGAAAATGTGCATCTTCAGTTGAAATGCATATTATCTAGCAAGTCATCTCTAAGTGTCAATTGTGGTGGTTGCTGTGTCGTAATAAAAATATTTCTTTTCATGCAAACACCATTGCAATGGCTAGACTTAAAAACGATTGATAAAAGTCTAGAGTTAAAAGTTGAAGGCTATCTGTTACCTTAGTTTACACGACAAACTGAATTACGGGATATTATATGCTATCTTGATATCAGCATCTATACGTCTAATTTTCAATGGAAATAATATGTACGAAGTTTGATATCAAGATATTCTATATTACGTAATTTAGGGTGTATTGGGAACGGAGTATTAGCAAAGAATACTTCTATTCAATTTTCATACTGCCGTACTCTAGCGGAACTATCTACCTCAGACCATTATCTAGCTAATAAACTGACACACCAAAGCTTCATGTTAGATAGCATTTCCAACCAACTCTGAAAATCGTAATTTGCGCATAGTAACATAAAAACGCTGTGAATTCATATCATCTATTTTGTTGGCATATTACAAAAAAATTATTGACTCATTTCATATTTTTTAGGGAACATCATCAGCACCCGTCGAAACATAAGAAAGTCCACGAACTCCTCATTGATTCCGTCAAATTATAAAGGCTTATCAAAACAAACACAAACTTTGACAGAGTATGGGGTACGCTTATAGACGCACTTGGGATCAATGCGCTAGCCAAGTAATAATCCAATTTATAATCGTTAGATTCGTTTTGACTGTTGGTAAATCTATGCTTCAAGAAAGATTAAATGTTCCATAAAAAGATTAAATCAAGAGCAAATTTTCATTTTGTCGAAAGTAACAAAGGTAAACAAAGTCGAGCAATCCGTGTCAATCGATGCTCCAGCTATTACACTATATACTGTCCGGATATAGGATCACATCCCATTTTTAAATTTATTTACCAGTCAAATTACTTTTTGACGTAATTACCTTCCGATCAAAATAGTTTTCGATTTCTATGGAGATGCTGTTTGCCTTAAGTAACAGCGCTGAGAAACCCGTGAAAAGTGTACGTTCGTCGTTTCGTTTTCTCATTATTAAAGTGAATAAATCGAACTGTTTGTTGCTAAGATGATTTCGGTGGTCCTAAAATGATGAATGGGCTGCACGTAAGGTGACGTAATTGATAATTCTCCCGAATATCCTGGTAAATACACTTTGACTTAAGTAACAATAGGGGCCACCAAACGACGTATAATAACTTTTGACTCAAAAACCAGTATTTTTTAGCATGGAAGCTAGCGATTTGCATTTGTGTATGTATGTATGTAAGGTAGCCACCATCCCTTCGAAGATCTTGTCTTGTATGCAGCTCCACTTAATAGCAAGATCAATTTGAGCTACCGATCTGAATTCACAATATCGCTGTATGAAGGGCCAAAAACGGAGGTGCGGACCCGTAAGCGAAATCCACGGGAATTTAAGAATCTCCTTCCAACGATACGATCCAACAAATCGAATAACGCAATTCGCAATACTTATTAAGCTTCCTACAGGATGGTTTGTTAAGAAGGGCGCGTCAATCTCCATGAAACTGTTGGAGTAGAATTCACACCATCACAATCGAATCGGTAGGATAAAGAAAATAACGACTCCGGAAAGATTCAATCATCGATTTTCGTCCCGGATCGGGCACTTTCCCGTCTAATTTCGACACGTTCCACTGCACCGTTAATAGCACTTCACTATCGCACCGGTTCCGACCGGATTCGGTTCGGTTTGCTAGGGGTTTTTCACGGTTAATCGGACCGTCCGCAAACACGCGCCATTTTCCTTCTCCGCCACTCTTTTTTGAGAAAGCTAGCGATTTGCATTTGTATGATTAAAACCCTGCTAAATATGTTAAACATTGCTATCACTATGAGATTATATGTGTTTAATTGGAAATAGGAATAACTTTTCGGTCATCAAAACAAAACTACTTTATTTTTCTCGGATTGGTGCGAATGTTACTTACGACATAATGAAAATTTGCTCTTAAAATGTCTCCTATAAAATACGCCGATAAAAAATATGAACTGTACGAATAAAAAGGCGAAAATGTTCCATAAACTTCGGCGATTTCTATGGAACATTTTATCATTGGCACATTTAATTTTTTTTATTGACTTATTTCATATTTTTTAGGGCACATTTAATCTTTGTTAGAGGACATTTTATCTCTCGCACTGCTCCTCTAACTAAAAAAACACAAATGAAATGTTCCATAAATAAAAAAGAAATGCTTCCTAAAAATATGAAATGTCTCAATAAGAAGATGAAATATTCCATAAAAATCGCAGAAGTTTCATCTTTATTATTGGCAAATTTCATATTTATTATGGAACACTACAGTATTTTCTAGGGAACATTTCATAAGTTTTTTTTAGGGAACATTTTATCATTCTTATTGATCATTTCTCTTGATTTAAGGAGAATATGTTTAAGCTTACTGGTGCAATTTTGCTTATTTACAGTGGCTCCACATTTTTTTATTAAGCATTTCAACTTAAGTATTGGCACATTGGTCTGTTTTTTTATGGGGTAGTTTTTGAATTTTTAAAGAAATTAATGATTAAAAATGAGCATAAGAACATTTTCCCAAAGTTAATGCTTACACAGTAAAAATATTTGAAAATTAAAGACGACGTAGTGGTTAACATCCATACCTCTCACGCCAAAGTCACGAGTTCAAATCTCACCCCCGGACAAGTCACAAATGACCCAAGAGTGTTAAAGTGACTATAATAAAAAAAAAAAAAAAAAGACGACGTAATTTGTAATGTATCGTAATAAATATTAACGTAATGCTTAATCTAACACAATTTTCCATTTAAATAAACGTAAATAACAATCTTACTGCTAATAACTTAAAAATCTATTCATTATCATTTAATTTTACAGTTGCAGTTTAAATTTCATCCTTACAACATATAATTTTACGCTACACATTAACTTTTCAGTTACAAACGCTATACATTTACATGCATTCAAGGTAAAAATGCATCACCGTTCTGTGCTTGGCGTTACCTGAAAAGTATCGCGGCAGCCATTATGATTGACGCGTGTTGAGCGTTAGTGTCGAAAAATATATAGGGGAAAAGTTGGCTTCGGCAATACCTTAACCTATTATCGTCAGGGGGGTAAACAAAGTCCTTGAGAGCTCAATTTTGGAATGTGGATACATTGTGTTTCAGAGCAACTATTGGCCAAATTTGAGTGCTCTAGGACTTTGTTTACCCCCCTGACGATAATAGGTTAAGGCCAACTTTTCCCTATATATGAAATGTTAAAATGCAGTGTATTTTTTAAAATAAGCTGTGTGAGAACATTTCGAGCTTCTTGGATCATATTCGGGTGTACCGGAAGTTAAAACTATGCTTGGTCAACAATTGTGAAGCAGTGTTTAAGTGTTTATAAACCTTTCCGAAAACATCTGGGACAGCGACATTTAGAAGCAACGGACGCCCCTCTGCGGAAGTGTACACTTCCGACATGCACTTTCGTAGAGAAAATTTGTCTTGAAAGCTGCAAAACTAAGGAAATGCTCAATATCTATCATTAAAGAATCTCCGTCAATCCAAGTATGTTCTAAAAAAATAATGACAAAAATAAAT